TTATAAACTTATAAATAAATTCTTATATATAGTTTTTTAAAACTGTAAGAAATTTTGTTAAAATTAACCGTCAAAGATTACAAATCAATAAGTATAATAAATTTCATGTCAAAATGACTTTTCTATACATATGATTTTTTTTTTTAATTTGTCTCTAGAATGAATCAATAAATGTGATTCTCTCATTCAACTTCATGCATTATTTAAAAATTTTAATTGGTATAAAACTTTTAAGAAGAAGAATACTAAAAAATTAAGAAAAAAGATAAAGCTTATTTTTATCTTTTTATCGCTTCACATGTATTTCCACTGCAAAATGTTTCTTGATCGATTCTCTATTTGCATTGAAATAACTACAGTAATGTGTAATCTCTCTCTCTCCCTCTCTCTCTCTCTCTCATGGCAGATTCTAGAGCTCTCAAAATTATTAGCAATGCACGTCAATCTAATCAGAGAAATCAAGTTATCTGATTTCCACACTCACTTCATATAGACTAGTCTCAAGCCAAAAGAAAAAAAATACGGACTAATGTTAATCACCACTAGAATTAGCGCCCTTGTAGACAAATTTTTTGTGGCAACTATATTCTCCGTTACAAATAATCATGTTTTGAAGAAATTTTTTTTTGTAACGGTAATAGTGTCATAAAAGAGTTATTTGCTGCCCGCAAATACTATTTGATACGACTCGTTGCTGTCGTAAATACTTTTTGACAATGAACACAACAGTCACAAAAAAATTATCTAAAATGATCGTAGGGAATCAAGCAAGTGTAGATTGTTTTGGTACTTTGAGTAGGAAATGCAATGTCATATCCCACTATATCTTAATCAAAATGCGACTCTTCTAAATGAATAAAAAAAAAAATTATATTTTGATCTCCTCAACTATGGATTATGTTTTACACACCTCTCAACTGTCATGTTTTTTGTCATGAGGAATGTTATCCTTACTAAATCATTTACAGAATTTTGCATCCCAAATTAGTGTGATTTGTTGGATCAATTAGGTTCACTAATTCAATATATTTAACACATCATATGGGCTACAAAATTTGATAAATATATTTGAGCAACACAGTTTTATCATTTTGTCATATTGCACATTCATTTATGGTTATTTGTTTTACATCACCCTAATAATTAAAATTTGTCACTACTTTTATACAAATTTGTCTATTTTCACTCTATGATCTATTTGATTTTTTTTTTTGTTTTCATTTTGCCCTAACACGTGGACATGTTACCTCCAAAAGATAAGGGATATTTCACTACAATAAAAAACATTTTTTACGACGATTTTTTTTGTTGCTAAATTAAAAAAAAATCGTTGTCATTTATTTTTCTCAACTTTTTTTTTTCGTCGCGTGTTCGTCGTAGTAGCCTCATCGTAAAAAGTATTTTGCGACGCAATTTTATTTTCATCGCAAAAAAAAAATTTGCGACGAAAAAAAACATCGCAAAAATTAAAACTAACATAGCTAAAATTTGTTCCACCAGCAGGGAAAAATAAAAAATAATAATTTAATTAATCGTCGCAAATGAAGTTTTAAATAAATCAAAAAATATAAAAATTAATAATTTAATTAATTTTTTGTGACTCAAAAAAATTGTTGCAAATAAATTTTTACATAAATAAAAAAAAATGTAAACACATTCACAACGAAAAAATAAACGTCGCAAAAAATTTTGGTATTGGCACGTTAATATAAAACATCGCGATACGGTTCAATCCAAAAAAAATTGAATAAATACGTTTGCAACGTAAAAAATTATTGCAAAAATGTTAGAACCAAAAACTGGTACAGACTTTTGCGACGATTAAAAAACGTTGCAAAAAAGGTTGTTCCTTCAATTTGTCGCGACGATTTTAATTTCATCGCAATTTTTTTTTTTTAAACAATAAACATTCATAAAAAATGGTATTCCAATAAAATTTTTCACTTGTACAGCACTAATACCTGTGTTCAATAAAAAACTAACACAATTAATACATTTAACATATTTTTCATTCAACAACCAACACAAACTAACATAAAATACCATACTAACAAAAACATAAAATAGAATACACTTAATAAAAGTTATACAAATCATCAAAATATCTAACAACGTAATCTATATACAAGTTTCCCAAAATATTTAAATATATAACCAAAAAATAATTCGTAAGTCACTTTAATGCAGAAGTCCAAAATTCATCTGTTACAAAAAAGAAAAAAATGGGAACATCATCTCCAATCAATTTGTTGGAAATAATCTGAGAACTTGGCCTGAAAATTTTGTCATGGGCAGTCAAATATCCAAGTGCCTTGCAAACAGGGTCTTGACTATTAGTCAAGTACATAAACGAGGCCGAACTATTAACCTGGAGGAAGATCAAATTCTGGCTGTTTGAGTGCCCTCACAAATGGGGTTACCTCCCTAAGCTCCTACTTAAGCCAGCCTCGTTGAGAGCTTTCTCAATTGATTTCTGCATATCTGACTGTGTGAGTGCCTAAAAATGGATCAGCCACATTTAATAACCCCACTACTGATTTAGAAAATATGTGAAACAAAAAAATTGAAACCAGCTGCCTCTAGTTTTACTTGATAAGTAGCAAAAGAAGTTAGTTGCTCTGAACTCATCTCGGCCATTAGAACTTCTGGTTTAGTAGCTGTCTCAAGCATCCTTAAGATTTTTGCCCCTTCTTCACTATCATGGTCATTATTACCATGGACATCTTTGATATCCCTGTGAAACTCAGCTATAATGCCCTCTGAAACAACTGAGCACCTACATCCACAAAAAGAAAGTCAAGTACTACAACAGGTGAACGCTTATCTACATCGATCAACCAGGTCCAAGACAAGTAACTTGATGTTCCCGCATAATTTGAACAATTACTACTCATTCCCAAATTGATAACCAGAGGGTAAAGGACTATACTTTGGCTAAGAAGTGCGAGATTGTGGCTTTATACAGAGGGGAGTCACTTCATGCATATTATGCAAAATATAAGGTACGTACCCAATCCACCCCTCCTAACACTGTTAGTTTGAGTTCAACCCGCAACTAAAATTTATCAAGACTAAAATGAACATGAGCTAAGACTTGACAGAAGACATGAAGCATAATAGGGGGAAAAAGATAATGAAAAGTGGCCTGTGTAGAGCATAATGGTTGCACGTGCTTGTGATAGGTGACATGATTATTTTTACTTTACCCCAACACTTGGGGGGGGGGGGGGGGGGGGAGATACTTACCTTCCAGTTCTCATTTTTTTTTACATTTTCTACATAATTAATTTTATATTTTTTAATCGTCTCTAGTGTTATGAAAGGGCTTCATCACATAACCTAAGAATGGCCTATGTTTTTAATTATCACCAGCAATAACCTCAACTAATTGTTCCTGGTGTCTGATATGGAAGGAAAGGCTTGAGAAAACCATACAAAGAGAATAAATGTACCAACAAGTCAACTTCATTAAGCAGTTAAATTTGGCAATGACCTCGAGTGGTGAAACAGGCCTAACCCAGCCACATAATCCAGCTCCCCAAATCTGCAGAGGATAGTGAATTAAATAATGGAAAGTTAACAAGACATCTAAGCAAGAAAAGGAAATTATAAATGAGGAAACCAATGCAGTATCCTAAGTTTTTGTCCCACAAAGAGTTTCCCAGCAGCCAGCTTATTTGACAGCAGTATATCCAGTAGAGCACTCAACGAATACTTACGAAACAAGAAAGTTTGCAATCTACAAAATAACCAAGAAAGATTATCCAAGTAGAGGCCAATAAACTAACTGTACAGTCACGTGATACAAAATAACCAAAACCAAATCAACAGCTCCACCCCAAAACTTCCTCCAGACTAGTCTAAAGCAGCAACCTGCTAAGCAAAGCACTTTCAAAACCAAAACTAACACTTGCCAATGCCTCTCTTTCTACCATATTTCAAACAAATCAACAGTTACACCATATAGCCAAACAATTAACCCTTATCAGCAAAAACCACTTAAAAATCACATATTAAAACAACAATCACACATCAAAACAAGATGGAATAATACAATATTTAAATACATAACCAAAAGATAATTCGTTAGCCACTTTAATGCAGAAGTCCAGAATTCATCTGTCACAAAAAAGAAAAAAAAATACATTAATAAATTATCAATCAAATTTTTCAAAAACATACAAGTTTTCTAATTTTTAAGTGTTAAATTTTTTAGTTTTTTTCTTAAACTCTCAACCCATCTTGAAATGAGATGTCTTTTCTTACAAATTTATATATCCAAATAATTCTTCTTCGTCCGTTTTCATGGTGAACATAGTTGAAACGAGACGATTGACACCCTTAATTCTTAAGTATTGAATTTTCTAATTTTTCGTCAAACTCTCAACTCGAGTCTCGAAAATGAGAAATCGTCTTTTCCTACAAGTTTCTATGCCCAAATAGTTGCTCTCTGTTCGCTTTCACGGCAAACAGAGCGTAAACGAGCCGATTGGCCCACTTAGCTCCAAGTTTTAGTTTTTATACTTCTTAAATGTTGAACTTAAAATGATAGTAAAAAGATACTAAGACTCAGTTGGCATTTCTGCATTAGTTGAGCTGCCCTGCAGAACAAGTTGCACTTGAAGTTGCATCTGCAAAAGTTGTTGCATCATCTGTTGTTGTGCGTCTTCAAACTTCTCTAGTTTTACTTTCGTTTCATCGCATTCCTTTTAAAGAGAATCAACAGTTGCTTGTAACTCTTTTATCATATCAGCTTGTTCTCGATACTTAGCAGTGGATGTGAATGATTGACTAGAGGATAAAGGCTTCGGGCCATGTCCAAATCCTTTCTTATATCCAGGTCGGCTGCCAAGGATTGTGCATGCAATTCCATCCTATGTCAATGGCTCTACACCCTCTTCTAAGTTCTGTGTGAAAAATTCTTTCATCCGCTCCAACAATTTAATGTATTTAAACCCAATTAGTGAGTGTATCATAAAAATTTATTTAAAAAAAAAACATAATTTTCTACAATTTAAAATACTTATATATCTTGACTCTACCTCAGCCGAAACTCACTCACCCTTCTTGTTCACATGAGAATCATGAAAAAAATCAACAATGTGGGGTGACTCCTCAGTCGTAGAGTCCCTCTGTTACAGTTAATCAAAATATCAATATTCAAAATTTTGAATTTCCTATATATTAAAATTTTGGAAGCAAATCCTAAAGTATAACACCCTTTCATATAGGACAGACTGAACGGACTTTGAACTCATCGAGTCGTTGTATGACAATTTGACACTATTTTTTGCATTTTTCTTAGATTTTGCCTATATACAAAGAATATAATTAGTACACAATTGAGAATAAAAAGTGGATATTAATTTGCATAGCTTATAAAAGTTACTTGAAATTTTGGATCTTCACAAAATGTTTCAATTATGTACTCCCAATCCTCCTGACTCACATCACCATATGACTTGTTCTTTGGGTCAACACTAGACTCAACCAAATCCTTATAGTGCATATGCATATAGTATCAGTGGTCCCTGTACCTCGCAGTAAATATTTTGTCGATGACCTTTCTAACACTAACTTTTTCACGATACTCTTTAATGTTAAACTTTGTCTTCAACAAAATATAAATATACAAATTAATTACAACATGTTGTAACACTCTACACAAATAAATATGTTATTGAAACCAAACAAATATATCCACTAACTAACAACCATGCAATGAGTGGTATCTTTTCCTCTTATGTTATTTGCTTCAATTTGTGCACATTTCTAATAGGGGCAAACGTCTTCGCTAGGGAGCCAATCTCTATCATCACCTTCGAAGAATAGTATATTTTTTGTGACGAAAATAAAAACATCGCAAATTGAAATTTTATTTTATTTTTTGATTATTTAATTTGCGACAAAAAAATTTTGTCGTAATTTTTTTTTTATTTCCCTCCATCACTCGCGCCAAAAAAAAATGGAGGGACTCACAATTTTGCGACGGACTTAAAAAAACGTCACAAAAAAATTACCATAATAATTATTTGTAACAAATTTATCAAATCCTCGCAGATAGTATATTTTTTGTGATGAATTTAAAACGTCGCAAAAAATAATTTTTGTTGTAGTGTTTGTACTAGAGTAAGGTGTAACTAATTCAAGTAGTTAAGGGAACAATGTAGGAAATTCAGTGGCCCAAGGGGCAAACTGAGTTTAAGATTAGAATTTAGAGGATCAAAGTATAATTTGTCCTTAACAATAAAAGAGTTAGAATGTGTTAAGATGTTTTTTCTTAATGATACATCCAAATACTTATACCAAGTTTGTCTTGGGGCTGTATTTTCCACATTATTGTGTTTGAGATGACTTATAAAATTCAAAAAGTATTTCTCAAAAGTGTTTTATAAAAAAGTATTTTCATTAAATAGACAACGTTTGGATGCTCAAACAAAAAAAAAACACTAAAATAAAAAGTATTTTATCAAAATGTGCATGGTGCTGGGTGGTGATGGTGGTGGCGACGACGGTAATAAGGTGTTTCAAATACTATTTTTTTTAAAAGTACTTATGAAAAGTCACAAGTCCTACAAACATTTTTGAAAAGTTATCCAAAACCCACTATATCAACATGTGTTATGCCTTGAGGCTGATTATTACTCTCTCTCTCTCTCTAGACTAACCTTTTCTCCTCTCCACTGGTGTTTGATTTCTCTTTTCTTCTACGTGGAGGTCGTTGAGTATGCCCAAACCTTCATTTTCAAGAGCAAATCCGACGACGAGGTTGCAAGGGATGGTTAAACCACGTGTAATTTATTTGATTCTCTCTAGATCATGAATTTCAAGATTCAATTTTACTCTATTTCAACTAATGTCACTACTTCAACTAAATGTATTAGCCTAACATACTGTTGTTGTTTGATTGATAGTCGATTCAAATATCACTCAGGTTTAGTGCTCATACAATAATAGCAATGGAATAAGAAAATCGATAAAGTCTAAGGAGTATTATTGATTTTTATATGAAGGATATGACTGAATTTGAAAAATTAATATTAAATATTATAACCCAGCCACTGCTTTTGATTTTAAAAGTTTAATTTCAAAAATGAAGTGCAATATGTCAAAAAAATTAACTTTTGTTAGATTTTATCCAGGGTGGAGGTTAGATCTTGAGGGATTTTGTGCTTGGTCTAAATGTTGGAAAATACATTTAATGGTCAAATATCAAACTTTGAGAAGGTTATAACTCAAAGAGTTATCATCGATCACTAAAATACAACTTTTAAAGGTTAAATTACAACTAAATGAGGTTCACTGGCATGATCGATCACGAATAATATCGATTAAATGAAACTTGACCTTCAAAAATTGTATTTTTAAGTATGGTATTGAAAATAACTTTTCGAGTCTTTCTATTAGTACAATATCAATTTTTTTTACTTGTATTGCTATATCATCTTGAGCTAACCTCACTCCTTTGTCCTAGTAGAAGACGATGAAGAGATTCCTAAAGAGGAATCAGTTTGTAAATACTGTATCAACTTATTCCCTGAAGAAAATGTGTTGAAGACAAAATGCCACTGCAAAACCACCCTTGTCCATGACCATTGTCGATTGGAAGGAAATAAAGAGTGTGAAGTTTGTGTCCATGAGGTCCAAAACGTCCTAGTGATATTGCTTCGTGGCCCCTTTTCTGGTGGGGATCACAAAGGGCAAGTGGGCAAGAAATAGAGATTGTTACAATTTAAAAGGTAATGTAATCATCAAGTCACTATCACAACACAAGTATAATTAAGGGTAATTACCTAGTTTGGTTCTCATTAATCCAAGGTACTGATAAAGGCAAAGAATAGTGTTAAGTAACAGACAACCAACATAAAACTCGTGAGACCAAACATAAATATGAATTAAGACTCGAAAGGAAAACAAACGTTAGTGAAACTATATTATATTTTGCTACATATTTTTACTTGCTCTTCAGGACTCCTGAGTGAGGTTCTTGAAATTCCCAGTTACATGTAATATCTCCCTTGGAGTAGCTGTTGGTGTTGCCATCGTAGTATCTGGTGAGAGACTGATGAACGGAGAGCTTGCAAGGGAGCAATTGAAATAAGACATAACCAGATTTGTTGTCGTTTTGTGATTGGTTTTTAGATTTTTTATTTTGTGTTTTGGTTTAAACTCCCTCTTAAATTTTCTGTAGGATTGTGTAATGCAACCATTTATAAATTGGGTACTTGTTTCAGATGCTATACCTTCCGTTAAGAGGATTACTCTTGCATTCTCTTCTCCCACTTTCTCCTACACTAACCCCAATATTTATACTGTGAATATTTTTGTGTATTAGTGTATGTGTATGTTTTGTTGAACTAGTGTGTATCTATGTTTTAATGTACTAGTATGCGGTGCCAGAGCCAAAAAATTCTCCTACGGTGGGCACTATAATAAGTTTTATCCTAATCGACAAAAAAAAAAAGATGATACGCTTATACAATTATCTCATCAACAATACTGAAAAATTCAATTTATATATGTGCACAATAGAAAATAGGCTAATTACAGTCTTCTATTGAAACTAATGTTATTGTACTTTGTCAAAATTGACCCAGAAAATTTTTATACTTTGATAACGTTATATAGTGACTTTATTATTAATGACACCGAGAAAGATCTTTTTCTGTATCCATAATCATGATTTCAATTATTCTCTATCTCAATTATTTCACTCGTTTCAATATTCATATTTGAGTTTTTTTTAACTCTAATTAATTTTATAGTTTTAAGTTGTGACATTGATTTCCTTTATACTTACCAAATGAACCTATGTTAAAAATGCAATGTCTCCAATTTTTATATAGTACAAAATATTATCATAATTTCTTAAAAAAATAAAAATAACCTCAATATGTCCAACCTTATCTAAATATGTCCAAATTGTGTCCATAAA